ATTCCATATGTACTTATTTGTTTTTTAATTGCATGAAGACCATGTAAGTATTTATTGAACATTGGAGAGACTTACTCAGAATTAGAAACTGGAACCCTTTAGATAGTCTTGACCCTGTGAACAGTCTTTTTCTCTCTGGGAATGGTTAAACATACTGAGACAGTCTGTAGTTCTAGTGCCTAGAATACTCCCTATAGCAGAGGAGTGGCTGTTTGGAGTGGCTCCCTCTAGCAATATGCTGAAGCAAAAACTTACAGAGAACTCAGCAGGGTATTGAACTTGATACTTCACTGTTGTGTCACTTAAAAATTTGAGCAGGGTTTTTAAATGACATATTAGAAATACTCTTTGCCACTATTTTATATCATGTGAATGAACAGCTCCACCATAATTGTGGAAGCTTCAGCAGGTAATTAATAGTGAAGTCAAATTTGTGAAGTATTTTTTTTCCCATTAGGTTGAAGTTATATCGATATCTCTGTTCGAAAATGATAGCCATCTACAGAACATGTTTTCAGGACAGTGCTACAATTTTATTTACATACATGTAAGTAACATGGATTCATGCTTTCAGTTTTAAAAATGAAACAAAAGTATATTAGTAATGGTAAATGGTAAGCACATGTTGGAATAATAAGTTTCTTATTTCTAACCTCTTGGTATATCCATTCCTGTGTTTGGTATTTCTGATATGCACCAAACTAGTCCATCTAGTCCATTCTTTCTCTTGTGTTTTTTATGCTTCTTCCATTCATAGGTATCTTGTTAAACCAAACATGAAATTCTTGAATAAGAGGGATAAAAATGAGAGTAGTTTAAAATTTCCTTTCACAGAGATTGTAGGGAAGTGGATTGTCTCATGAACAGGTATACCCTATGTGTGGTCATCGAACTCTGCCTTGCTACCGTGGTCTAAATTAGTATTTACTATTTTGGACAGATGCATGCTACACAATCTATATTTGGGTCCCTGTTTTAGATCATGAGAATTTTAATTGAACCTTATTTGAGACCGATGAAGGGCCTTAAAAGATGTTGTATATATTTCCTAAAAATAATATTATTGACCTCTAAGTTTTTCCATATATCCATAACTCTATCAGACAAAAGCATTACAAATATAAAAAAAAGATGTACCTTTTTTTAGTAAATAAGATCTTCAGATTCTATTTTTATAAATAACTGATGTTTTAAGTAATTCTAAACATTTATTTTCATTTAGGATAAACAATCTGCATTTCAAGAAACCCAGCTACTAGTGGATATGTTGGAAAAATCAAATATTCCTCTCTTATACCCAGTTGTTCTTATTTCGGTAGGTTAACTCCTGTAAATTACTGTAGTAAACATCTAATGAAATGTTTTTAAATGTTAGACTTCAAACTATTTCAAGAGACACTGCTAACTGAGTAAAATGGTAAACTTGAACTGTAAATTAGATTGTAAGGAATGTCATTACACTTCAGCAAATGTACTGCATGCTGCCAGGAAATAAACCGACACTAGCAAAAGCTTATTAGTTATATCTTTCTTTAAAATACTCATTGTGAGTCGTCACATTGAACTGTTAGCTCCTGCTTTGCTGTTGTGCTCCACGTCTGATGGGAGTACTGCAGAATGATGTATTCTGCTGGAATGTTCAGTCAAAGGAGAACTAAGTGGCTTTATTTTCATCTGTGCTTTGTGGTTTATTTGAAGTTTTAAAATTATTATTGCTTTTCTGGTTCAGGTATTAAAAATGAACTTTGAAGTACTGTGCAGTATAATTTTAAAACATACATATGACTGAAGAATCTGTTCTGGTACATGGCAAAAGTTTTATAGTGTATTTTCAGGTGAAAATCTAATTATTTGAGTACTTCTGTCAGAATAGCTTAATAGTTCATGCAGAAGACAGCTGAAGGTATAGCTGAATTTTCTTTTACTCAAGCTGTGAAAAAGAAAATGTGGGTAAATTTGAAAATTTTAGTGCTATGTAATGAGACGTAATCTGTTCTTAATCTGAAATTTACGTTCCGTAAGTGATGAAGTGTTATTACCTCTTTAACAAATAAATGAGATATAATGAAGATAATTACTTCACAAATGAAAAATTTCATATCCTCTCCTAATATATGTTGTTGTCTCTAGTCCTGGGAGAGTATGACATACTCTATGCAGCTGGAGATTTAGCACTTTATTTCTAGTCTGTTGTCTTGACCATATTTCTGAGGAATTTCAGGACGGAGCTTCAATTTTACTAAATTTTCAAACAGAAGAGAATTCTCTCTGCATTTGAAAATGAGAGTAATAATATACCTCTAATTCTGATGCCCATTTACAAGGCTAATGGAAAGGCAGAATATTCTTTACTGGACTGAGAATGTTTTCATTAGCCCTTCATCAACAATTGCAAAAATGATTTCTTTCTGTGTTAAGTTTTGGGGGAGCACAGTTAAAGAAAGTTTTGTTAATCAGCTAGATAATATTACAGAGTTGAAAACATGCTTTTTTTTTTTTCCAGATTCATAGGTAATCTGGACTGGAATCTGGAATTTACAGGGACTGTGAATTATTATTATTATTTTCCCTATGACACCTGGAATGTGAGAGCTTTGTTTAAATAATTATTTAAATAATTGAATAAAACTTCTGACTTAATGTTTCCAGAGAAATACATAAGGATGGAAAAAAAAATGCTTACACAAGCTCACTTTGAAACTCTGAGGTTTTGTGCTTAAGATACAGAGATCCTGAAGTCATCATAGAATCCAGCATTATCTTTAAAATAAGCCTGCTTGCTTGTGCAGCCGACTGAAGGCACAAATAATTTAAGCAAACACCTTTTTATGCAGCCTCAGTAAAAAATGGTATGGTTAATCCCTTTTGCACTATACTCTAGGTGACATATTTCATGCAGTAGTTATTCCTAAGAAACATTTGAAATTTCCCTAATCTAACCAGTGAGAGAAGAGTCTTGCAACTAGGTGGAGAGTTGCTAACATTAAAAACAGATACAATAACATGTGTAAAAAGTGTATCTCTCTTTTTTTTTTCTCTCTCTTTTTTTTTTTTTTTGTAGTACCCTAACTACAAAAGGGCATTTTGTGCTACACAGCCTAGTTTTATGGAATTACCATATTATCTTTTAGAAATAAAAGATGGGAAAAAAAGGAGGAGGACTGGGAAGTATGTTTCAAATGACTAGTCTTTGATTTCAGGACACTTGTGACTCCTTTGTAGTAATCGGGCAACTGAGAGAGTTGATTTTATTTTTCATCCCAGTGTTCAACTTGTTTGATTGTAAGAATAACAAGTCTTATTATGGCACCAGATGACCAATTTAATCAGCCTATTAACCAGCCAAATTATCCCAGTATAAGCACTGGATAGAATGATTTCTGGGCATATGGCCTTTATGAATTGCACTAGGTGAAGAAACAGGTGCAAAGGCTGTCCCTCCAGCCTTTAGGACAGAGGAAAGTTTCAGGAGAAACAGGGAAGCACAGAGGTAGACTTCATGCAACTGTTTTACCTCTTCCCTGTATCAACCCAATATCCTGTCCAAAAGCATCTTACTCTTAATACTTTTCTGAGTAATTTGTGTACACATTGGTAGATGCAAGGGTCTCATTGAACAGATGTGATCTTTTTGATTTTGTAATAATTAGTTAGGGCTGGAGAGTAATACTTCATCTCTGTAATTGCCAGTGTTTGCACTTCAGCGCAAAAGCAAGTCTGAGGAAAATCTCTTATTAATGCTGCGGAACAAGGTAATGTAAAGGTATTAGATCGTATCTCTCAAAACAGGAGGTTTAAATTTCTTGGGGATAGCTGTAAATGAGCAATACTTAGCTGTGTAGTTGTGTTTTTGATTTAAAAAAAAAAACCAAGCCCTTAACAAAATTATGAGTGTTTGAAAATTAATTTCTGCCTGTGTAGTAGAAGACAATAGCTTGCTGGTGAATATTTCCACAAAACTTTTCTACTTGGAAATGTGCACTTAGAAGGTAAACAGTTTTTAAAAAGTGCTTTAAGGGAAATGAGTAAATGCCTGTTATCTGTCAGGATAGATTGAACGTAAGTTACAAAAGGAGCTTGAAACATTTTTCCCCAAGTGTGGATCTCTGAGGTTAGCTCTCTACTTCCACCTCTCTGTACCACTGGCTGATACATTTTATGTGGCTGGAGTCTTTCAACCAGAAAAGTAGTTCCCTTTCTTTTAAGAAGATTTATGACTTTAGCTATTCATATTATTAATAGATGCTTGAACTTTTTATGTAGAAATAATCATCCTTAATCTTGATTTCTATGTGAAACTATGAGAACACTTAAGCCCTGGGAAAGAG